CAATTTGAGTAAATACATAGAGTAAAAAAAAAGATACCAATATATATATATATATATATATATATATATTCAATACTCATAAAGTCTTTAATGCTCAGTTTAGCACATGAACCATTGTAGGAGTTAGAGAATTAAACATGAAATTGATGTTATGGATTCTTATAGGTTGGCTTGGATACAAAGGGAAAAATCGAACTTTCATTAAGGATAAATTGGTCACACCCGTATAAGCTAACCAGATAAGTGGCCTTACTATAGGATAGGCTAAATAATTGTATGAGTTATGATGATGTGTGGATTATGATGCTTGATGATATGTGCGGTATATACATATTTTGTTGAGTGACGCTTGATATGTTTGACACACGTTGTGGCATTGATGAGCATGATGATTGCATGATTTTTACCTTAATATGATGATGTTTCCATATTGAGCATGCTAGATGATGATGAGTGCCATATTGCATCATGTCGTTACATCGACGTAGGACACAACCCTAAGAGCATGAAAATGATATTAATATAAATATCCACGAGTATGCGTTACCTAGAGTAACAAAGAGATTAGACTAGAGGGTTGTGTCAGAAGAGACATTACGATGGATTTAGAGGGACCTCATGCATTTTGTATGTTCACGTGCATAGGGCTACTTCTCCTAGAGATGATGAGTGCGAACGCGCACCTTATGATGAGCGCGAATGCGCACAGGTGCGAAAGCAATCAGATGAGGGTGTTCATGAGGCGCATGACACTATGGGGTTCCGCTGACCTCCGGACGTCGCTACAGATTAGCTTGACCAGAGGGTCCAGGGGGTGTGCGAGCGCCCTGGGGACTCACACTCGCACGTGTGAGTCGTATGTAGGGAAGTACTACACATCCAATTTGTCCGAGACTGGAGGCCACCCCTAAGATGATTAGAGATAGGTCCCTAAATCATGATTGCATGTGTGTGCATTTGCATGGCCCCCTATAGTGGGGCCACTTACTGAGTATTTCAAGAAATACTCAGGTCGTGTGCCACTTCATTTTTCAGGTAAAGGCAAGGTGCACTTGTACGGAGGATGGCGGCATCGCGAGTAGAGACTGTGGCACGTGCATAGGGTAGACTCATATTTAAATTTCTAGTCTTAAGTTAGAATAGGTTGTTTTGCATTCCATTGTTTTAAATTATTTTGTATTTGTTTTTGTTTTCTCTAAATTTCAGTATTTCATATTTAAACACGTAAGACCATGGTTGTGTTTTTCAGAGAAGAAGTTGTTTTAAACATTTTTTTTTTCTGAAATTTTTGTTATCAATTATGTTCATGTAAGAGTTATATATCCGCATTATAGATGAGCATGAGACGTTAGTAGCGACTCTGAGTATTTGGAAATTTAGGGTCGTTCCACCCCTATCCTATCACGAGGGTACGGACGCGTACATCCAATGGCAGGACAACAATCGTTATGCTTTGCATAGCGTTGCCGTGACGGTTACTAGTTCTAACGGGTCCCGACATAAGGGGCTCCCAAAGTATGCCCACTAGATAAGGAAAGTGGCCCAGCGGTATGGAACTAGCTGGTGAGCCCATACTCGCACGTATGGGCTGTGTGTAGAGTATATGGTACACGTCCACGATTACCCGTTAGAACAGCACCGTAGGAATGGAATGGGCCTCGGTCATACGTGCGAACTGAAGCCGAATGGAATGGGCCGACAAGGTTCAATCTATGGGGAGTTCTCGACGTCATCGTCTATGGGATTCCATAATAATCTCCTCATTTTCTTTCTCCTCTTCTCCGTCTTTACAAGTTTGACAGTAATCTCCTCATTGTTTCTTAATTTCTTTTTTAGGATCACTACATCATATACCTCTAAAGGAACTTTCATTCTCATAAGTGTCAAAATTCTATAACAACTCGAGTTATTTTCTCCCTCGTCTCTTCCTTTCGTTCTCACGTGGTATCTCACGGTATTTCTCTCTTATCTCTTCCTTTCCTTTCGTTCCCATGTGGCTTCTTCTATTTTGTGGTTTTGCCACATTACTTTAACCAAGATGATGTCTCTGATGCGTATAGCTTTCACCTCATGGGCCAAGATTTTTTCTGGCTTTTAGTCATAACTCAATTCCTCATCTACCTGTAGCGGTTCATAATCTGTCACATTGCTTGGATCAGTTATATACTTGCGGCGTATCGACATATTAAATACGTTGTGAACTGATGAGAGGAATGATAATAGGGTAGTATGTACGCCATTGTTTTGATGAAGCATGGGCTCTACATGCCTTTACATTTGAACCTTAAGACGCCTTTCATCAGGACCACCTTCAAGAATACTATGTTGTCCACTTCAAATCCTAAGCTCCTATACCTCTCATCAGAATAATTTTTCTGTCTACTCTGATTTGTGCGCATTCTCGCCCTGATCTGTTGTACGGCCTATTGGTAGTCTGGACTAACTCGAATCCCAACAACTCTCATTCACCTACCTCGTCCCCAGCAAACTTAGGACCTACACCATTTCCCCCATTATGCTTCAAATGGTGTCATCTTAATAGTTGCTTCAAAGATGTTGTTATAAAAGAACTCTATAAGATACAACTTAAATTCTCAACTACCTACAAAATCCAACACACAGGCACGAAATATATCTTCCAAGATATGGTTCAAACGCTCCATCGAACCATCGGTTTGTGGATGGATACCAGTAATGAAGTTAACGCGAGTACCCAATGTTATGGAAAACTATGATAGATATTGGGTGCATAGCGTGGGTCTCAATTTAACATTATCGATACTTGCACTCCATATAGTCTAACAATATCTCTCATGTATAGTTAGCCTAACTGTCAACAACATAGGTATCCTCTCCAAGTAAAAAGTATATGGACTTAGGTAAGTTTTTCAACTATCATCTATATCATTGTATATCCTTTCAGAATCTTTATAGACTCACGTTGAAGTTCATTACTATTTTTCATATTTCCAATATGGAATGCTCAAAGGTTGCAACAACCATACCATCTTTGGTTCCTCATAATCCATCAACCATCACCCCTTAAGGCCATAAATGAGTCTCTTGAGGTCATAAATAACTCCCACTTGTTGATACATCATTAATTTTCTAACAACCTACATTAACTCATGGATCTTACCTAATTACCCTTAAGATCATAAATGAGCCCCATATAAAGTTTCATATCATTTAGAGTTCTTTAGGGTCTTGAAAATATCATAGAATTCTTATGGGGTACTTTTGGTCATTTACCAACCCAAATCTTGGTTTAAATCCTCGACATATTCCAATTACCTTGAATATTTTCATAATCATTCAAAACCATCACATAAGGAAAATTTTATACTATGCAAAGGTCATTTGGGTGGTAAGCCAATGAGCCATAATTATAGGGGATTTTGGTCATTTTTTTAGCTACCCTTGGCTTTGCCCCCTAACCTAATCCAATGACCCCAAAATTTCATACATAACTTTATCATGTCATTTTAAGCTTTCCATTACAATTTCATGAGGAAAAGAGTCCATTTAGTAGGTTCATGGCTCAGGCGCATCCTTGAAATCAACATTCACGTGGATACTAATGCATGAAAAATATCAAATACTTAACCCAACCTTAATTCCAACCTTTTTTTTTTACATCATTTAAGATAACTTGATTTCTTCTTTTAACTAGATTAATGGTTTAACTAGTTTCATGTGTTACTTAGACTTTCAAGTCACATCCTCTAAACCTTGCTAAAAATTGGACTTTCAAGTCACATCCTCTAAACCTTGCTTAAAATTGGGCTTTCAAGTCACATCCTCTAAACCTTGCTAAATGTCCAACATCAGACCCATTCGACTATATATCCTCACAAACTCATTTTAAAAGATTCCCGTGGTAGAAAGAGAGCACATATAATTGGTATTGCAGAGCCATAGTGGATATCATTACATGTAATAGAAATTAGGATACTAAATCTAACTTCAAATAAAGGGTCTTGGAACCTTAACTAGGACAATACCTTTGAAACATCTTGAAATGAGCTATTTTTCTACCCAAAAAAAAAAAAAAAAATTGTTTAGATTGAGCAATGAAATATATTGGTGTAAGGGTATAGGGAAGATTACCATGCAACTTTTAGTTGATTTAGAGACAAATTCTACCATTGTAATCATGGCAATCCTTTGCCCAAATCCTTCTTAAATTTAAGACATGTCCTGAAAGTCTCGTATTGTAGTCTATCTCCATAAAATTTCTATAACACTTTGAACATGATCGTAACACCTCATTGATACTTTTAAATCACCTTAGAGGCTCTCAAAATGCAACCTTGACGTCTTTTCAACTCATAATTGTCATCATACTATTATATAGACATTATTCTCATATCTCTAGTAGAGTTTAGGTGACATCTCCGTAGTTGGCCCCATAACATAAGTGTTGGGTTATGGAGCATGCTGCTTATTTATAGCTCATTCTACAGTTCTACGTAGTAAAACTATATGTGGTAAATGACATATAATGCAAATGGTCATATATAGTGAAAAACAATATATAATAAAAGGCTATGGATGAGTATATATGGTAAAGTTATAGTAAACTGAACCATATATATACAATCTTAGTAGTGCTTTTAAAATGTACTCTCTGCCTTCTCTATATTGTCTCTTATCGTACATACTTAAAGTCATCAATATAAATCTTTATTCAATATTCCTCATTTCATTTTCTCTCTCTTCTGTTCTTTGTGATCATCTAGATCGAGTGTGTGTGTTATTGTGTGATCCTATGAACTAGTATCAAATTTAGGCGAGATTCATCATGATCTGTGAAGATCGAAAGCTCAAATGTTGGAATTGAGAAGTTTGATGGATCCGATTTTGATTTTTGGACGATGCAGATTGAAGGTTATCTATACCAGAAAGATCTTCACGAACCCCTGTAGGAGGTGAATTCGGATACCATGAACATGGAGCAGTAGAAGCTCAAGGATCAGCAGGCCTCAGGGGTGATTCGATTGACGCTATCAAAAAATGCGACGTTCAACATCATCAAGGAGAAGACAATATCAGATCTGTTGAAGGTACTATTGAGTATGTACCAAAAAAATGTCGAGTATGAACAAGGTGTATTTTATGCAGAGATTGTTCAATTTACAAATATGTGACGGTGAATCTATTGCTGATCATATAAATGAATTCAATATGATTGTAAGTTAACTAAGATTGGTGGAAATTAATTTTGAATATGAAAGTAAAGGTTTGATGTCATCTTTACCAAAATTGTGGGAAATTAAAGCAATTGTGGGAAATTAAAGCTCAGGTGAAATTAAAGCATTGAAAGTATTCCCATGTAGTACAAGCAAATCACAACTAATTCTATAATATTTTAAGACCCTCTGCAATCGAAGCAAGTTCACGATTAGGAGTTTATTGATGAACCCCTCATCATCTCTATATAACAGCATAAATACCACTTGCGTAAACGTATCATAAAAAGAGATATAGTATAGTAATCTAGACATACCTTCACGTAGATGTGTCTTTTCCCATCATCAATTCTCACATTGCAGACTTTTGATTTTGGTTTCTTCATCAAACCTTCAATATTATTCAATTCAATCGTAATGAGCAACAAATCATCGAGTTTGGCCAAGAATTGAGGGAGATATTATCTACTAAAGTTCCTCAAAACCCCAAAATCGTACCTTACATTTCCAAGCTCAATCTCCTTCTATAGTCCCTCTTGGTTCACGAATCCTTCTTGAAAGTGTAAATCGTCCTCTAACGAGTCTATACCAATCAACCACGATCAATTTCATACCCTGCAGAGAGAGAATTTAGAATATGAAACTCTAAAGCCAAACCATAAAAGTCATCTTAAACTGGAAAAAGGTACTCTCCCTTCACAAACCGGGCTCAACTACTGTTGGTGGACGGAGGTGGGGAAATTTGTTCGTCTCCACCTTGCTCCAGGGACGTTTCTACCATCAAGCTGATTTTGGATCAATTTAAATTTAACAAAATAATAATAATAATAATAATAATCCAATTTCATTAAAAGGGTAACAACCTCTTTTTTTAATCAAATTTCATTAAAAGAAAATAATTTTAAAATCTATACGCTTCTTTAAGTACTAAAATTTTTTTTATTTTCAACCAATTTTACCATGTATTTAAAAAATGTAAGTTTAATTAATTTTTTTTTCCAAATATAGAATATATTTGACTTTCCTTTAAATTATGCTATTTTTTATTATTATTATTTTATGCATAATTAAATAAATGGATGACTATTTAATTTTCAATTTTAAAAATTGCTTTAGCTTTCTTTTATCATTTCTTTACCATAAAATCCATATTTGTAAAGAAAGTATTTAAATTCTAAATAAGATTTTTAAAAAACATAACATTTTTTTAATGATGTTTCTTTCTTTGTGAGTTTTGGGAATATCTCCAATCATAGGTTCGAGATCCACATCTATGAATTCAAAGGTTCGAATGATCAACTCTGCAATCAGTTGTTAGAATCAATAGGTCTTCAAATCGTTCATTTGAAAAAATTGAAACCCTTCTTATTGGATGATCATGATACTTCCCAAAAATCGAAATTCTTGATCAATGGAGCAACAATATCACCTTTTTTGTTCAATAATACCAAAGTGGATGATTGACTCATGATGCCACGATGAACTTATTATAAGGCATGACATGACAACCCCTAAGGCTTAGTTCCTGAAAACGAAACAAGTAGCCATATCCTAGATCAAGGTCTAGAGATGCTCCAACTTACCAACTATTCTCTTTAACGCCTACTCTATATGACTTGAGAATAAATTCAAGATTACAAGGTGGTTGGAGCAAGTTTGGAACCTAAACCAAGATTGAACTTAGGAAACGCCTAAAGGAAACATGTCAAGATTCAAGACCCTTCTAGAACCCTCTAAGGAGTCCATTATGAACTTATGACTTTTTAGAATAACTCATGCTAGTTATTACGATGGGTTCATATGATCACGAATGTATATAACAACTACGCCTCAAGAAAGATAAGAACCTTAAAAACTTACAAGATTAAGAATCAATAACAAGCTATACAACTACTAGGTACCACTCAAACATAAGGGACCAAAGTCCTCAAGACTCAAAATTCAAGAATGCTAGGTAATACTCTAAGCATGCCCAATTGCGGCCCATACCTCCCACAATGGGGTGCTTCTAAGGAGGCCTTGTTTCCTCTTCTAGGTGGGATGCCCTACATCGTGTTTCTCTTGCAGGATGGCATGTTTGGCCTCATTCCCCTCACCTAGATGAGATGCCCTACACCATGTTATGATTTGCAGGATGCCATGTTCATGTACGCACCGATCACGTGACCTTTATGGTTTATGCCATGTTCATGCATGCATCGATCACTTGACCTTTATGGTCTATCATGGGGAGTGACCTATGGCCACGATGGAGCAAGAAGAGAGTAAGTTACCCTAGCCATGAATCAAGAACCTCCTAAGACCTCCCGCGGTACATCATGCTTATGACTTAGACTACGCTACTTGGAGCGTATGAAGCCTTGAGCGTAGGTATTAAGACTGTGTCGCTTGGAACGCATGAAGCCTTGGACACAGGTCGACAAGTTTATGTCTAGTACCGTAAATCCTAAGGGAAGTGTCTTGGAGAACGAATTAAGAAACATAACAAGAACATACGGCAAGAACAAGAACAAGAACAAGAAAAGAAAGAAGGTGGTACCCTAGCATATCAAGGACACGATTAAGAGCCTACAAGTAGGCTACTTACTGAGTCTTGTACTCATTCCTTATTCTCCATTTTTTTTTCAGGAAATAATGAGCTGGTCGAGGTCGGTAGCGGACTTTGGAGCAGGTGCCATAGACAAATTTCACCCGTCGTCCTCAACCCATTGTTTTAAGATGTTTTGTGTTCGTTCCTTATTTTGTATTTTAACCATTATGTTATATTTTAAATTACTAATGCGCCCACTATTTTCGTATGATGTAAATTATGTTTTAAATTTTAATTGTTTAATTTCGCGAAAAATTTACGGGTCATTTTAGAGTCATCGAGTCAGCCCGGTCCTTGCACGAACTGACTAGTGAGCCCATACTCGCATGTATGCACTGTGTGTAGAGTATATGGTACACATCCAAGGTGCCCAATAAGAATAGTACCATAGGAAAAATAAACTGATATGATAGGTCTCATCATTGCATTCACATGTTCTTGCATTTAACCCCAATAGTGAGGTCACTTACTGACTATTTCTTCAAATACTCAACGCATGTGATACCTCTATTTTAGGCCAAGGCAAGGCTGTAATAGCCCAAAAATAAATAAAGAAGTAAAGAAATAAAATTAATTATAAAAAATAATAGTTAAAATAATAATGATAATTAAATAAATAAAAAAATAAAAACAACCTTTTCCCACTTCCCTCCACAAACCTTTCATCCCTTCCCACAATTATATCTCCTCAACTCATCCTTAGCAGCCAGAAAGTAACCAAAAAAAAATGAGAAAAAAAGAGAACGACCTCTACCCAGTTGAGATTCTACGAGATTTATGTGAAGATAGATCTGATCAATAATAAGTATATATTAAATCTTCATTCTCTTTTATCCTATTTTTTTTGTTAGAAATCACAACAAATTATAGTTAGATCTTCATTCAATTATTACAAATGTTTAGCTTTGAGTTAGAAATTAGATGTAGATTAGTAATATTGGATTAAATTTATATCAGTAGCCAAATGAATAGATTAAAAATGTAGATGAGTAATATTAGATGAAATTTATTTCAGTAGCCAAATGAATAGATTAAAAATGTAGATGAGTAATATTAGATGAAATTTATTTCAGTAGCCAAATGAATAGATTAAAAATAGAATGACTAAGAAAATTTGTGAATAGGAAACACTTGGATAAGAAAAGATTTGGAAATTTGGAATACACGAGAACAAAATTAGAACAAAATTAAATGGCAGTAGATAAAAAAAATGAAGATTAACAAATTAAAAATCACAGACTAAATATAGAGAGAAAGGTAAATACAGAGAGTAGTAAAGCCCCTGAAATAGTTGTATTACTTTTTTAAACAACAGTAACTATGGAAAATAAATTTTTTAATAAAAATATAATTATAGATAATATAACATTTCAAGACCTTTAACAATGGACCAATGTAAATTAGAGAAATAATTTTGTAGAGTTCAAACTTGAAACTGACGTCATGGGCTCACATAGGTTGACTCGGATTTCAAAGGACAAAATCGAACTTCCATTAAAGATATATTCATGACAACAACTTAAGCTAACCAGGTAAATGACCTTACTATCGACATGGTTATATTTGATGTTGACACGTGTCTGTGGTTCTACACGTGTCATATATACTGATATATGTGAATTATCAGTGAATCAGTATGCTTATATTATGTTTATGTTATGTTATAATGTGGATTGTATGATATCAATTATGGTACGATGTGTTCAAGGATATGTTTGAGATAGGATACGAGAAGGATGCACAAAAAGAAATGTAACGATAGGAGTAAGATACGTTCATGAAACGTTAAGGTTAGGTTACATACTGGAGTGCTATGGACAGGAGAGATTGATGAAAGAATATGGTTAGGATATGGGTAGAAAGGGATATGTTTGTGATAGATTGATAGAACGATAGCGTTAGGGTACGTTCCTGTGATGATATGGTTAAGATATGTTCACGTAACGATATGACCTTAATAGGTATAAGAACGTTAAGGCTATGATAAGTTAGGGAACGATATGACCACGAAATGTTTACGATATGACATGTTATGATACGATATATTGTGATGTGATGTGTTATGTTTAGATTGTTTTGTGTGACCATTGAGGTAATTGTTGTATGAATTACACTTTATGAAATGGCATGTTAAAAGCATGGAGCGTTATGTTATGTTTTCTAAATTGTATGTATACAGCATGTTATGAATGACATGATATCATGATAAATGAAATAAAATGTAACCCCGTTAGAATTATGTATGATATGTAGACTGAAAAATGAGAAATAACATGTTAAGCATGAAAGATGATAGCGGGGTTATACTCATTAATGATAAAAGTAGAAATATTGGGGACCTCATGCATTATGTGTGTTCATGCATTTGGGGGGATACCCCTATTCCATCATGAGGGAACGGACGCGTACATCTAAAGGTAGGACAACGATCATTATGTTTTGCATAGTGTTGCCGTGACGGTTACTAGTTCTAATGGGTATCCGGCCTAAGGAGCTCTCAGAGTATGCAAGCCCGACATGGAATGAGGCCCAGCGGTGTGCGAACTGACTGATGTGCCCATACTCGCATGTATGGGCTATGTGTAGAGCATACGGTATACGTCTAAATTACCCGTTAGAACAACACCGTAGGAAGACAGATTGAAAGATAGGTCCCATCATCTCATTTGCATGTGATTGTTGCATTTAACCCCAAAAGTGGGGTCACTTACTGAGTATTTATTTTGAAATACTCAAGTCATGTGCTATTACATTTTTCAGGTTAAGACAAGGCATTCCTGTACGGCTGACGATGGCATCGCAACTCGAGACCATGACACATGCATAGGATAGTGATATTTATTTTCTTAGACTTAGGCTAGAATAGGATGTTTTTAACTTAAACTCTTATTTATTTTATTTAGTCTTTTGTTGTGACGTTTTAAAGATGTTTTCGAAACACATAAGTCCATGGCTGTGTTTTAAGACAAAGGTTATGTTTTATGGAATTTAAATGAAGTCTTCAGCATTCAATGTTTATGGTACGTATACAGTAACAACAATTTTGGGTCGTTACAAAGGCATTCCTGTACGGCTGACGATGGCATCGCA